GGGGGGGGGGTGAGCGCAGGCCGAAAGGGCTTGGTGGAGGGCGCACCAGGGCGGGGTCTCTGGACCTGGGGTAGGGGATCTGACCTGGGGTGCTGGATCCGGATTGGGGGTGGAGAATTCAGATCTCTGTGAAAGGATCTCATTTTGGATGGGGAGCACCAGATGGGGGTGGGGTATCTGGACCACAGTGAGGGGCTTTAACCTTGGGTGGGGGGGTGTCTGGATAGGGACAGGGCCGCAGACTCTGTGTAGGGAGGTCTGTGCTGGGGTGGAGGGCTCCAGACACAGAGGAGTGATTCCCAGAGGGGTCTAGGCCTGGAAGATAGACCTGTCAATGGGGAGGGGCTTGACCTGGTGAGAGTTTGGCAGAATCAGTGCCTGACCCACCGTGGTAGGGTCCCTCTTGGTCCTTGGGCTATGACCAGACCCTTGGAGCAGGAGGGTTATAGGGAGGGTCTGTGGAGCCCTAGGGTCAGAAGGCTCAGTGATCTTCCCCAGGCTCCCCTTGGAAGGTTGGAGCACCCCCCGGGGACTTTCCCGGCAAAAGAATGGCTGCTCCACCAGGAAGGGCCACTAGAGCCCAGGCCCCAGGGCTGGGGCTGTGTGGTATGCAGAACCACGTGGACTGTAGAGAAAGGGAAGACCTTAGCAGGCCTGCCCTGCTAACAGACCAGCCTGGCAGGCTTTTCTAGCCAGGGACCTTTGTCTTCTTGCGTTGCACTGTTTTTCTTGACCTTCCCAGCTGAGGGAGGATGGAGGCTGCCCTGAGTACTGCTGCCTCCTGGAGGGCCTCTGAGGCCTCTGGAGGACCCTCCTGAGGGCCCCCTCCCAGAGAGGAGGACAGTCATTCAAGGAGGAAGCATAGCTGGACACTGGTGAATGCAGCAAAGACAGACTTTACTTAGTTAACTATGAGCAGTGGAGGCAACGCTGAGCTCTGTGAGATTTGCCTGAATGTGCCTGGAGTTTTAAAGGGAATGAGAGTGGAGGCAAGAGGAACGGTGGGGGCTCAGTGGAGGCCAGAAAATTACAAAAGACAGGAAGGGAAGTTGGTTCTTGTGACTCTCCTCTGGTTTCCACAGGGCTTGTAGAAGTCAGGCTCCACCCTCCCACGGAGGCTGGGACACACAGCAGACTCTGGGCAGCCTTGAGTCTTCAGGCAGACACTTCACAGGACAGTAGTGATGCTGGGGATGTGGCCTTGAACCAGCAGAAGCCATGTTGGTGCTTGTTCAAGTCAACTGGTCAAGGTGAGGCCTGCAAGACGAGGCTCAGAGGAGGCTGGCTGCAGTGTCAGGGAGGGGGCTTTTGTTAGTTTCCTCTCATTAAACGGTAGAACAGACATTCTTTCCTCTAAAAGGTCTCCATCCATTTTCTTTTCAGCATCTTTTGTCCGTGAAGGACCAGCTGAACCATGTGTTGAGACTTGGTCTTAGAGAATATTTACAGGGTGATGCAGGTGATCAGGCTTTTCATGGTGGGCATTTCTATGAAAACAAAAAGGAAAACATATTAGTGGTTGCAGCTGATGAAGAGCCCAGTGTATGAGCCTAGAGGGCAGCCAGTTGAGAAGCTTTCTGGATGTTGGGCTCTGCGTGTCTTTTCAGTGAATGAGGGCTGCAG